ATCGGCTGACATCGGTGCTGTTTTACGGTCCGCCTGGCTGTGGCAAAACGACCCTCGCGCAACTGCTGGCATCCGAAACGAAATGCCGCTTCCGCCAACTCAACGCCGTTACCTCTGGAGTAAAGGAACTTCGCGAAGTCCTTACCGAAGCACAAAGCGAAGTCGCGACCGGCGGACGCAAGACGCTTTTGTTCGTGGACGAAATCCATCGCTTCAACAAGTCGCAGCAAGATGCGCTTTTGCCTGATGTCGAAAACGGGATCGTCATTCTTGTCGGAGCAACGACCAGCAATCCGTTCTTTGCGGTCAACAGTGCTCTGGTCAGTCGTAGCCAGATCTTTCAGTTTGAACCCCTTAGCGTGGAAGAAATCCACGAGGTGCTCACCACTGCGCTGAACGATCCGCATCGGGGCCTCGGTAAATTCGAGGTGAAACTGGACGACGACGCCGCGCACTTTCTGGGGGAAGTTTGCGACGGGGACGCCCGCCGGGCATTGAACGCTTTGGAAATCGGCGTCCTTTCTACCGATCAAAAGCCGATCCACTTCACCAAACAACTGGCCGAAGAATCGATTCAAAAAAAGGCCGTTCAGTACGATCGCGATGGCGACACCCACTACGACACGGCCAGTGCGTTGATCAAAAGTATTCGTGGCAGCGATGTCGACGCGGCCATCTATTGGCTCGCGAAAATGCTCGAAGGGGGCGAAGACATCCGCTTCATCACGCGGCGGCTGATCATCTCGGCCAGCGAAGACATCGGTAACGCCGACCCTCACGCATTGTCACTGGCCGTTTCCTGTATGCAGGCCTGTGAAATGATCGGCCTGCCGGAATGCCAACTCACGCTTTCGCAAACGGTCGCTTACTTGGCTTGTGCTCCGAAGAGCAACGCGGCGACTGTCGCGATCGGTGAAGCCAGGGCCGACATCCGCGAAGGGCGCGTCGAACCGGTTCCGACCCACCTTCGCGATTCCCACTACGGCGGGGCGAAGGACCTCGGTCATGGCGAAGGCTATCAATATGCCCACAACGCGCCTGATGGCATCGCCGCTCAAAGCTATTTAGCCATCGACCGCGAATACTACCGTCCGGTACCACGAGGCTTCGAGGCAACGCTGCAGAAACGGGTCGAAGTCTATCGCAAACGGCTTCGCGGTGAAGAGGAGTAAGCCCCCCTCTGCATCTGCACGGCGTAACCTGTCCAGCTAGCAGCCAGGGAAAACCGGCCTTTGTCCGTTTTGGCCGTTTCGTTACTATCTGGGAACGCTTGCTGGAATTGGCAAGCTATGGAAACAGCATGATCAGTGCGACGATTGTCGCGATGATGCCCAGAAAGCCGAAAAACACCCACGCATACGACTTCCCTGCCCACGGACTGGTGTCGGGAATGATCGCGTGAAGGCAAACCGGGCAAACATCCACATCGTCGAAGATTTCCGCACCACACTCGGGGCATAGCATCGTGTCGTCCTGATCTTCTTCAGGCTCGTCGTCGATCCAATCTTCGTCGCTGTCGTGCATGACCTTAGGATGGGTTAAGAAACGTCAGAGCACACCTCGGCATCATCATTCTTCGGCAGAAGGACTCGCCGCGGATGAGCCGAATTCGTCAAGGAGGACGAAGGTGGAAACCATTAAAACCGCTTGCATGGTCATTGTACTCATGGCCATCGGCTACGGCGTCTACACCGTCTTGAATCAGCCGGAAGAAGTTCCGCCTGAAGTGGCCGGCGCCTCGGACAACATGGAACTGACGCTGCCAGACTTCTCCGACATGGCCATGCCTGGCGGTTCCCCTGCCACATCTCCTTCGCAAACATTAGGCACGCCTGCTTCGTCAAGCGATACCGAAGCCCCTGGCTTTGCGAGCGGCCGTTTAACCGCCCCGCAGCTAGGCGAATCTGGCGACTCGGCCCCTTCGTTCAATCCCCAACCGACCGATCTCGCGGACGAATCGGACGAACCCAGCAACGTTCCTCAGTTCGATGGTGGCGGCAGCCTTCCACCGTTGGCTAGTTCGATGCCGTCGAATCCAGCCGAGCAGCAACCGACCGCCGAAGCAGCCATTCCGACTTCGGCAGACGCTTCAAGGAACCAACTTGCATCGGTCTATAGCGGCGGCAACATGGGCGGCATGACCAATCCTATGTCCTCCGGCACCCCGCAGTCGACCGCTCAATTCGATGCCGATTGGGACGAAGCCCAAGTTTATCTTCGCCAGAACGATCTCGTCGAAGCGACGCGTCGCCTCAGCCCTTGGCGAAATCGTCCTGAACTGAATCCTTCCCAGAAAGAAAAGCTGAACCTGCTGCTCAGCCAACTCGCTGGCACCGTTGTTTATTCCACCCAGCATTCGCTGGAAGAACCGTACACCGTCGGCAGCGGCGAAACACTTGCCAGCATCGCCCAGCAGTTTCAAGTCCCATCCATTTTGCTGCAGCGGATCAATGGCATCGAAGACCCTAGCAGCCTCACGCCTGGCCAGAAGCTGAAAGTCTTGCGAGGTCCATTCACCGCCAAAGTCGATCTGACGCATAACGAATTGACGCTCGAAATCGACGGCTGCTACGCCGGACGGTTCCCGATCACAATCGAAAACGGCGCCATCATTCCTGCCGGCGAACATGAAGTCTTGCGGAAGGAAGCCAGCCCGCAGTTCTACGACGACGCGACGCAGAAGATCCTCACCGCTGACGATCCCGCCAACCCTTACGGCGGCCACGCGGTCCACTTGGACGGCGGCATTGTCCTGCATGGCAGTGGCGGCCCTGGCGGTTCGATCAGCATGAGTGCTCGCGACTCGGAAGACATCTACGGCATCTTATCGATCGGCTCGAAGGTAATGGTCCGCCGATAATTTGACGCCGGACTCCATCGCGGATAGCCTACCGCTTAAGAGGTGCCGCCGCGGCATCGATTCAGGGGATGGAGGCTATCATGACCGACTCGACGGCTAAGGAA